ACTCAGCTATTAGATTTTTTTATGTTAATTTTTATATATAGTTTATACTTACCATGGAAAAGAATTAAAAAAAACAGTATAGTAAAGAGAAAATTAATGAATGTTCAGAAATAATGAACTGTGATCTTAAACTGGTGCCACCAACACATTGTTTTAAGAAAAAAATCCCATACAAATCACACATAATCATTTTATTAATTTTCTGTTAATCAAAATCTATAACTATATGAATATTTTATAAAGAACCTATTCATAAATGTTACTTATATCAAATTATATATCCTACAATTATATATATGGTTCATAAAGACCTCTAATGCACTTATAAACAGGTGAGATTTTCTTTTGCAACTAATACAATCTTGAAACTTAATATAATTTGTGTAAAACTGGGAATTTAAATTTTCAAAAGTAAATGAAAGTAGAATTGGCTGGAGATGATCACATACATAAACTTAAGAAAACTGAAAGGCACTTTGCATTAGTAAAGGAATTATCCCTGGAGTTATTCTTCTGTTTGTAAAAAATAACTGGTGTCAAAATATTTAAAAGTTCTACATTATGGATAAAAAAGGTAAACACACACACACACACACACACACACACACTTTTATTATTATTCAAGCTTGTTACAAACTCATGTAGAAGCAAGCCAGATATTTTTTTTCAGATTAAAAAAACTTTTTTTTTTGCTTGTTTTGTTTAGAAAACAAAAGCTCGTCTTTGGTGAGAAACTTCAGGGACTTCACTGTATTTTCAGATCTATCTGAGGAGATTAACAGCAAGTGTAATTTTGAATGATTAGTTCTGCTCTAGCTAAGCTTTGACATTTCTCATAGCTATCTAACATGTTTCACATATCTTGACAACTTGAACAACTTTTATGTAGGTGAGACAGCAATTCCATACCCAGGGAGCCCTTATCTCTTACACTGAATGGTCGGATAACCCCATGGAGAGATCCAAGGTTTAAGGGAGCGAAGAAGAAAGCATGACTACATTTAATCTCACGTTAGAGTGTTGCTCAGTATAATTAGTTTGCAAATATGTAATTTATTTTACTCCATGGGTTGTAAATATTCTGCACCTTCAGCTTCTCTTGACAACCTAAGGAAAGGGATTTAAAACACATTGTCTGAACAAAAAAAAACTTATCTGTTCAGCTTCCTTTAATAAAGTCTGATTCCATTCTTAAAGGGAAAATACAGCTCCAATTTTTTCTCTCTGATATGATCATTGCACCCTTGTAAAATAATGTTTAATGGTCAGATCATCCTGACATTTTCAATTCTAATGTCATTATTTTAATCTATTTCAATATCTGCTATATTTTTGCATTTATAGCCAGGTTTCAAAATCATCAGTTGTGAAACTCAATTGTATTTAAATATATTTAAATTCATGAGGGAAATTATATTTTTATAGAACCTATCCCCGTTGCCATGTGAAAAAAAAAATCATGATTATTTATTATTTTCAGAAGAATTACATTATGATTTCCAAATCTTGCTAACTGAACATACCTATAAAATCCCTTAATGTATGCCATTTGTCCTTAGACAACTTTTAGTAGTTTATAATTTAGGTCTACTTTTACCTACTGTTTGAGTTTCTAATAAATTATAGGGAATGAACCATCCCACACCCGAGTGGGTGGTCCTATCGTTCTATTATATGGGCACAAGTGGGAAAGAAAGTCTTCTATTAACTAGGTTTATAATTTAAGGTACGACTATTATAGAGTACACAGCCTTCATGTTTCAAGTGGTGGTTTGCTTTTAGTCCGTACCTTGGGTATTCAAACCCCCTCTGCTTGGTAATAAGCCAGTAAATTATGGATGATTTAATGTATAAATCCTCTCAGTTAAAAAGGCAAGTCAAATTACCCATCTAGGCTTTACCTCCCCTAAATCTTCCCCCCCCCCTGTTAAGTTGGTCTCAATTTATGGAGTTCTTTCTGTTTCACATAATAATCTTCATGTTCATACAATGTTAATAAGTCTCACAATAAGGGTTATTGTACCCAAACCTCTAGAGTTAGTACCGAAAAAACAAACGTACTTCTTCTTGTGTATAAACTTTGGAGAACTTTCATCAGTAGGTTGACTTCCATGCCACTCCCCTATGATTTTGACGGTTCTCAGCCTCCCCTCATCCGCTTTAGTTTGAGGGCTGTAGCCCAGCGCTGTAAGACCAGTTCAGACATCAGTAGATTCGTTTTGGTTCGCTCCTCCACAAACCACTCTGCTGTGAGACTCAGTCAGTAAATGGGCGAGTCTTGACACTGAGACCAGAAAAATATAAGGAAAAGTGGGGGAAATGAGTTCTGAATTGATTATAATGAAATGAATTGCTTTTCCCTTGGCAAGAGGTAGGAGGTACTCAAAGCCCCCCAGGATCCCTGTGAAATGTTAGAGAAGGGGGTTTGCTGGAAATCTGAGCCAGAAAGAGCTTTTAGTAGAAATTCAAGTAAAATGTGGAGTTGTGGTTTTGTTTGTGTGTGTGTGTGTGTGTGTGTGTGTGTATGTGTGTGTGTGTGTGTTTTGGGGGGTGGTATCGTTGTTTGACTTGTTTAATCTAAATAATAACCTCATTTTCTCCTGACTCGATATGTTCTGATACTTTGTTCTATTGCTTATCCATTTGGATCTGAAAAGATAAAGTGTGATCTGCACACTTCTGATTTATGAATAATTTTATTTACAATTAAAATTGTTTGCTTTACATTCTATTGCTTTTCTTGCCTAATTGTATCAAGACACACAATTGACTATAAGCATTACTAACTCCATAATCTTAAAATAATGGTAGCAGCTGCATCTTTACATCATAGAAATACAGAGGCACATCACATACCAAAGTTGTCTAGCAGTTAAAGCATCCACAGCAATCTCTCATACAGCATACTCTCTATATAGATTATCTTTGTAAATGTTAACATTTATAAGTACATATCACTAAGACTAGTTTTTGCAGGTAAACATACAGTATTTTATCCTTTAATGTAAAGTCAAAGATGAGTAATGCATTAACTCTGCATTACCTCACCATCTGCAGATAATGTCCCCGTTTGTGTAGTACTAGTTGAATTCAAACCTTGTTTTCCCCATTTATCCTTTCAGCTTCTAATCAGTTGGATTTCCTGCCAATTAGTGCTTTTCCAGTTTTCCTCTCTTAACTCTGATACTATATTTTTTCATCTGAGGCTTTCATAAGGCAATGCACTCTCAAAAGCAAGTTCATTTGTTTTTACACTAAGGCACAAAAACTGAGAAATACAAATGTAAATTTTGTCAATTGGTAATTCATGATTTCTGCAGATTTTAGAACATACTAATATGTAGTAGGTTAAATAAACCCTGATTAATATCTGGACTATGTATTTTTATTAGTACTATTTATCTGGTATACATAATAAAATACACCATGTACACATCATATATATTAAATTGTGACTTTTAGAAACATCTATGAAATATATCTACTAACTTTATTTTCTATACTTGAATAAGTAAGTCAATGAATAATAAATAATTATAAGGAAAAAGCTAAACACATGTCAGGATAATGAATACTCGGGAAAAGAATGGAACAAAAGAAACTATCAAAACAAATTCAGGCCCTAGCCAGTATGGCTCAGTGGATAGATCGTTGGCTTGCAGACCAAAGGGTCTCAGGTTCAAATCCATACAAGGGCACATACCGTGGTTGCAAACTCCTACCAGGCTTGGGCTCTGGTCAGGGTGCAACAGAAGCCAATCAATCAATGCGTTTTGCTCATCTGATATTACTCTGTCTTTCCCTCTCTCTCTCCCACTCTCTCTAAAAATCAATGGAAATATCTCAGGTAAGGATTCAAAAAACAAAAAACAAAAACACAAATTCAGTATGTTTGTCCCTATAGAACAGAATGAAAAATATTACTTAGTGAATGTATATGGAAATGTAATTAATTATTGGAAATATGTTCATAAGTTATTGGAATTTTATTGAATGTATACAATATTCGTTCATGGTTCATGTCAAAAAATAATCCTACAAATATGACCCTGGTAACCTATAGTTTAATATATTATTTTATGATTTATATGTCTTCTTTATGAATTGATCATTTGACTTGGAGTGATTAGGTAAATCAGGAATGACTTTCTTTTTCTGTTTGTCAAGGTACAGCCATTTCCACTGGTTAATTTTTCCTCTGTTAGCAAAAGCATTCAGGATAGAGGCAACTATAGAGTTCTGTTAACTTCCTAGAGGAATTTGTAAAGATGTAATATTTTGAAGTCTGCAATCATATACCAAATTCTCTAGTAAATTAAAGGGGTTGACATGACCCAGTAGAGGTTTCTAATAACCTTCAAATCCTTGCACTTTGTCAGATTACTTCTTCCTCTTTGGGTCATGTTGAATCCAGGTCCGGTACAGTGTAGAGAGGAAATTTAGAGAGAAAATACAAAAGATGATAACCTACAAACTAGCATTAAAATTAATTTGATTTGAGGTTATTGAATAAATGGTTTCCTTTTGCTGTTGAGTCCACCTGTGACACTTCCTGGGCATGATTGAAACACCTTATAGGTGGGGCCAGAGTTCTGTCTATTGAATTCCACTTTGCCATTACATTCTATAGAAAATCAATTTAGAGTAGACAAAATATTTGGGATGCATACACTAAAATGGTTTATTTAAAGCATTCTATTTGTTGAATATTAAAAAGGTGGGAGAAGGGATTTTACTTTCTGCTTTTTTAGTATAAGCATCGCAAAAGAAACTACGAATTTCCTTATTTGAAAGTTACTGCATTGAGTTAGAAAGCTAAAATCGAGGTGAAGAAGAGGACTGTTCACAAATCATTTTCCCCTAAGACCTACTTCTATCTTTTTCGGGTATTCCATGGAAAGATTTACAGTGAAATTTTTTATTCAGCCTTGCAATCAGTTGATTTGTTTACTTATGAAAATGCATTAATCATAGGCATATCTATTATTTTCTTCTTCTAGCAATGGTTGTTTTGAGCAACCTGGAACCAAATACAACTTATGAAATCAGGGTTGCAGCTGTGAATGGAAAAGGGCAAGGAGACTACAGTAAAATAGAAATCTTCCAAACATTACCAGTTCGTAAGTACTCCTCTCTGTTTTGATCACTGTTGCCGGGATTTTAAAATGCTGGGAGTCCTTTCAACACTTGGGAAAAGTGAATGATGTCTCTGTTAAAGCAGCTGGAGGATATGGTGGCATCTCAGATTTATAAAATTAACTTTGCTCTGGAGCAGGGCAAAGAGAAAAAGATGCACTGCAATATATACAGTACAATTCTCTCAGGAATTGTCCCAATCAGAAGTTGTCCTACTTCTTTAGAGTCTGATTAAGGAAATTGTAGTGCTCAGACTATACTCTGCTAGGGAGGAGAAAAGTGTGTGTAACATGCCCATATTCTATTCTTTTGATGAAGCATGACTATTACCTTTATCCCATAAATTACATAGGCCCTAAGTGTGAGAAAGATGCACCATTAAATGAATCCATTGTAATGGTGACTGCAGAGAATAACTGTTGTAGCTTTGCTCTCATTACTAAACTCATCTTTGACTTTATATTAAAATACAGTAAGCTTACCTGCAAAAACTAATCCTAGTGTTATGTACTTATAAGTCAACTAAGTTTATATGAAGTTAAGAGAAATTTAAAATGGCTTATATTTCCTTTCTGTTGAATAAGTTGTTTAAAAATTGAGTGTGACTAAATAAATGTTGTTATAAAATTTATGCATAAGCCTGTCTACTATATATGCATATCAAGACAGTCAAGTTCACCACATAAATTATATCATCCCAATTTGTGACCAATTATTTTCTGTTTGTCTAAAAATTGGTTAGATGTGTTCCCTTTTCTCCATTCCCAATGCCAGTGTTGTTTTCAGTTTCTCATTTTTTTCACCAGCAGGACTGCAAATACATCTTGCTTCCTATTACTATCTCCAGATGAAAATGAGTCTAGAGTAACTGAACAAAAATGTAAAGATACCTGTCTCTGTTCTACTTGTAATCTTCAACAACACCGCCCTTTACCTTCCCACTTTCCACCCACACCAACCTTTGCCTGCCTGCCATCCTTACACCCCTCCCTCAACTGCCATCGTGCTTTATGCATTAGCAGTTTGAACTAAAGATTGCATCCTGTCTTGACTTCTCTCCTTTTGATAATGTCCAGGGTCACTGCACATCCACATTCAATGAAAGCTTGATCATTTATAGCTTACTAAGATCTTGGCTAACCATTCCAACCTTTATTTTCCACTTCATTTAGAGACACTTACTTTTATTCATTCATAGAACCCCTATATAAGTGTTTCACCATAACACATCTCTCTACTACTCTTTCCTTTATTCCCCTTTCCTTTTTAAATGACAAGATTTCTAATCTCTTTGTGTACTTTCGTTAACTTTCAAATCTCTGCCCTAGACAGTGAGCATGTTGAGGGTAAGGGCATTGTTGTTGTTGTTTTCGTTTTGTTTTTAAATAACAAATATGTATTTAAATGGTTTCTCAACATTTTTTGAAGTTTAAATGAGACAATATATTCAAAGTACTTAATATGTCATAATTACTGTTATTTTTATTATTATTTATACTAGTGGCCTGGTGCACAAAATTCGTGCACTGGGGAGGGGGTGTTCCTCAGCCTGGCCTTCACCCTCTCCAATCTGGGACCTCTTGAAGGATGTCCTACTGCCGGTTTACAGGGATCGGGCCTAAACCATCAGTCGGACATCCCTCTCGCAATCTGAGACTTCTGGCTCTTAACCGCTCACCTGCCTCCCTGCCTGCCTGATTGCCCCTAACCACTCTGCCTGCCGGCCTGCTCGCCCCCTACTGACCCCCGCCGCCAGCCTGCTCGCCCCCAACTGCCCCCCTGCTGGCCTGCTCACTCCAAACTGCGCCCCCCCCCGCTGTCCTGATCACCTCCAACTGACCCCCATTGATGACCTGCTTGCCCCCAACTGGCCCCCCTGCTGGTCTGCTTACCCACAACGGCCCCACCCACCACCAGCCTGATCACCCACAACTGCCCTCGCCTCTTGGCCTCTAACGGCCTCTACCTCGGCCCCGCCACCATGGCTTTGTCTAGAAGAACGTCCAGAAGGTCTCCTGGAAGGTCTCCCTGTCTAATTAGCATATTACCCTTTTATTAATATAGATAGAGGCCTGGTGCACAGGTGGGGGCTGGCTGGTTTGCCCTGAAGGGTGTCCAGGATCAGGGTGGAGGTTCCTTGGGGCATGGGGCGGCCTGGGCGAGGGGCCTGTGGTGATTTGCAGGCTGGCCACGCCCCCATGGGGTGAGGGTCCCCACTGGGGGGCCGGCCAGCCTGGGTGAGGGGCTGAGGGCTGTTTTCAGGCTGGCCACACCCCCTTCAGGGTTGGGGTCCCCACTGGGGTGCCTGGCCAGCCTGGGTGAGGGGCTGATGGCTATTTGAAGGCTGGCCAAGCCCCCCATTGGGGACCCTCACCCCATGAGGGTGCTTGGCCAGCCTGGGTGAGGGGCTGATGGCTGTTTGTAGGCTGGCCACACCCCCTTCAGGCTAGGGGTCCCCACTGGGGTGCCTGTCCAGCCTGGGTGAGGGGTTGAGGGCTGTTCCCAGGCTGGCCACACCCCCTTCAGGTTGGGGGGTCCCCGCTGGTGGGCGTGGCCAGCCTGGGTGAGTGGCTGATGGCTGTTTGCCAGCGGGCTATGGCCCCAGGCAACCCAGGTTCTCAGACCCTCCTTGAGCGACGGCCACAGGGCCTGGAAGCAGGTATCTGGGATTTATTTATCTTCTATAATTGAAACTTTGTAGCCTTGAGTGAAGCCCACAGCTGGTCAGAGCAGGTGGGAAGCTTGGCTTCCTCCATCGCCAGGGCCAACCCAAGCCTCCTGTTCGCTCCAGGGCCGTGGCCGCCACCATCTTGGTTGGGTTTATTTGCATACTCTCTCCTGATTGGATAGTGGGTGTGGCGGAGGTACAGTCAATTTGCATGTTTCTCTTTTATTAGATAAGATTAGCATTACTTTTGTATAAACATTTTGCTGTAATTGCTCATAGAAACCATTATTTTTTAAATATATTGATTTTACAGAGGAAGGGAGAGGAAGAGAGAGAGAAAAAAAAATCAATGATGAGAGAGAATCATTGATTGGCTACCTTCTGCATGTCCCACTGGGGATTAAGCCTGCAGCCTGGGCATGTGCCCTGATCTGCAATTGAATCATGTCCTCCTGGTTCACATGTCAATATTGAACCACTGAGCTACATTGACTGGGCAGAAACTATTAGTTTAATTTCTCTCTAATGCAGTTTATACTTGTTTTGAACATAGTTTTTTTTTTCAAAGGAAGTAGCAATTGTAATGTAGTCATAAACTTGTCATACATTTTTAAATTATATATTTTAAAATATTTGTTACCATAATATAATTTCTGCTTTATAATTATCTCAAAATGCTATTATTAAAAGTAATAGTATTATAAATATATTAAATAAACTAGTACTATACAACCTGTAAATTATAAAATTCAATTAAAAATGATACAAAACCACCTGAGTATACCATGATTTTATACTACTTAGATTTTCCCATAATCTCTTATACAAGTCTTTTAAAAAATCATTGCACTCATTTTTACAAAAGTTTTATTCATTTATCAAAAAAACCATTGTGTTGTTGTAGATCATGTCATATCATGATATCTGCATGCTAATTTAATTAGCTTTCATGAACAATAACTCTACAGTTCCTCAGTTTACTTTGTTTCTATATGGTTGTACTATAGGAGGCTATTTTCTTACTTATTTGTGTGCCCATACACCCAATGGTCATATTACTTTAATGACCTGCTTTCTCACAGATAAACTGCACACCTGCTTCAGGTTATATACACCATGTTAGATATAAAGAAGTTGCTGGGGGGAAAAACACCTGTTTCCCAAGTTTGGAGACATACAATCCTCTACTCCATTCTGCTTAGTTTGTCTGTCTGGGCATTCCTTGCAGTAAAGCAGATAGGACAGGTTTGGGGAATCTGGCAACCTGATGCATACCCTCTACTAATTGTTTAGTATTTACACATTCATGTTCACACCCACATCCATAAGGAATGGGAGGAAACAGAGGCAGAAGAAACAAGTGCACACTCAGCAGATAATCCCGATTCCAAGTTGCCAAGCAGCCGTGTCATTCTTCACATAAAAAACTCTTACACTTCTATGGGTTCCTGTTCATATTCAAAATACTGCAAACATGTGCATTATATAGCTACCCATATGAAGAATGATATTATAAGTATATTCATAACTCTAGATTAGAAAAAACATATTGAAATACAGGTCTTTAGATTGGATAATACAAAATTACTTTATTTACAATTGTATCTAACTATAGAAAATAATGCTCATGAAAGCAGTTAATTAACTGTTAAGGCATTACCTCTCCAGGTAGGGATATATACTATATAGTTTGAAGCCTTCATATGTTTATATTAATAACTATAAAATATTTACAAACAAAATTTGCATGAATAAAATAAATGGAATTATACATTGTTCATAAGAGAAATCATGTTTCCACACTTGTGCAGTACTATCCTCAGAGCATTTTGACATAAATGTAAACAATATATTTGGTCCTGAGCTTTCACAATTTGGGCATAGTACCTCTAGATTTATGAATATTGCTGTTTCTTGGATAGGGAGAAAGAGGATCAGAAGTTATATCACAACAAAGGGCAAGTAGCAAATGTTAAGTCCAGGAATATCATATATTTTTATTATATGACATTGTTATTTTTATTAAAATGCAGTTTCCCTAGGTATCTGAGGTGTGTGAAAATATCAAGAATGTTGTCTTGCTTATTTAGGTGAGCCAAGTCCTCCATCCATACATGGGCAGCCAAGCAGTGGGAAGAGCTTTAAACTCAGTATCACCAAACAGGATGACGGAGGGGCCCCTATTTTGGAATACATTGTGAAGTATAGAAGTGTAAGTACCCCACTTATTGTCATGTTGTACAAAGTGTTTTCAAACTGCATTAAATTTGTACTGAGTTCACAGTGGTATCAGGAGTGAATGTATATTCAATAACAGTGATAAAATGGTACTCATAGGAATTTCAGTGACAATTGTTTATTGCTTAAATTCGTCATTGTCGGTTACAAAACATTTGCTTTTTGTTGTTGTTGTTGTTAAACTCTAAGCATAGGCCATCAAAATAACCCCATGACTTTCATCTTGTGATTTTTACATATTTCTGAATTGAGACACCATTTTCCCTCTTTTTTTCTAACAAGTGGCAGAATATTTTCACCCTCCATTCTGGCTGATATAACTTTAGGCTAAGTCCTCTTCTCAAATCATTATTGTAGACAAGATTATTAGTAAATAGTTCCTTAAATAAATCACGTCAATCAGAATTTAACGAAGAATAACCACACTGAACTTGAGGGAGTAAATAGATTTTTAAATTTAATTAGCACAAGCTACTATGAGACTTTGGACAGCTAAGAGCTACTTTGGGACTTTTTATATGTATAAGGGGTGAAGCTGTCCACTGATTGCCACATGATGAAGTGGTCTGGTGGATTTGCCTCTTTGCCTTTAGACGAACATTATTCCAAAGGTCACTGAAAGTGATTTCTCCTAACAATCTTGCCATAAGTACTGGTGTGTTTGTGTCTACTGTGGAATATATTAAAAATGAAACATTGAAATTAAATTTTGTAAGATGTATTTACTGTTGTTTATGATTATCCTCATAATACAGTGCCAATTTCATATATATGTTGACCGAACCTTTTTAGGGTATTATATTTTAGTAAATGGTATTTGAAAAAATGTCTCTTAATAGTATGTAGATGAATTTTAGATATGTTCCCATAAATTCACAATTGTCTAAATGATAATATTATTGCTTCTACATTCAAACATTCAAGTTTGGAGGGGTAATGAAAAGAGGAATATGATTTTTGAATAGCATCTTCAGTACTTAATTTTAGACATCACTTTGGTCTTTGAAATTTAAGATGAATACCTTTTTCCGGGACCCTTCTTTGTCTCTTGTTTCATGCTGGAAGTAAGGAACAGCTGTGTATGTCTTTTGGATCCTTTGGGTACTCTGCTATGGGGGCTACACGAGTCTCCCCCAAAACCACTATGAAAGGCTCACTGGTCTCTCTGTGAATCTGATAGTGGCGTGCTACTCATGCCAAGTTTCTTGCCCATTCTTATTTGCCCATCTGGAAACTTTTTGGAGAGAGAGAATCTTTCTCTAAGGAACACTGGTCCGAACCAAATTTATGAACTGAACTAGGGAAGCAGATCTTCCCTTCCATGCCTATATTGCACCCGGAAGAATTTATGGTTCAAATACAGCAGGATGGTAAGATTTGTAAGGGAACCTAGTAAAATCCATGGGGAACACTGAAATGCAATGACTAGTACAAATATGTTAACATATGCACTTTATTCATAACTTCTACCTGAAGCTAAAATTTATGCTTGACTTCTCCTTTCTAAAGAGTTAGTATTAGAAATAACACATATGTTATATTGAGCTCAACCAAAGTCATTGACTTTAATTGATGGTAGCAAGTACATATCATTTCTCATTTTATCTTTTCTTCATAGCCTTTAATAGGGGCTTTTATTGATAAAGTCTGCATGTATATTTTAGGAATGCTGTGACAGGTTTTAGCGATGTTTCTATTTCCAGTTACCCGAAAGGAAAGCTCAGAAACTAATAAGAATGTGACTCCCCATAGTGTGCATCTTTCTCTAAATATTTGATAAACTTCAAGAGATCACATTATAGATTTACCTCAAAAAGCCATTGATATCTTATTTTCAGAAAGCGATCAATAATTTTTATACAGATTTTATTCCTAAAATCAACATATACTGTTCATCTGTTAGGAAATATATTTGTATTTTGGGGCTTTAGGTAACAGAAAACATGTCTAGCAGGGTTTAAACTCAGAAGATTTTTTTCCCCTTCATATTAAACAAATTTATGTGCTAGACAATCCAGGCAGGGCTAGGAAAACATCTTAGCAATATAATCAGGCATCTACATAATTTTCCCTGATGTTCTCTCATTCTAAGCATGTTGGCTCTTGTCTCATCTAGGTTACCTTGTGTCCCCAAAACTCACATTCAGCATGTGAGGTGAATGGAAAGAACAAAAGGGACAATAGCTTATTTAAGCTGAATTTGTCTTTTCTTTCAGCAATACAGTACAGGTTTTATAAAAACCGTATCCCACAGAACTAAATTATGCCTCATTGAATAGAATTATGTCACCTGATCACAACGTAAATGAAAGGTAGTTATACTGGGGAGTTGGGTCCTATAAATAATGGAGCCTGCCACATTGTTAATGCCATTTTCTTTATTATCCTAATGACTGTCTTTGTCTGCTTGGGCTGCCATAACAAAATGCCACAGACTGGGTGGCTTAATCAACAGAAATCTATGTTTTCACAATTCTGGAGGATGAAATTTCAAGGTCAGAGTGTCTGCAGGTTTGGTTTCTCATAATGAAAATGATTGGCTGCATTCTTCAAACGTAGGCATAATTTAATGATAATCCATTACTCTGTTAATCCTCCCAGAGCTCCTAGAATTTTAACAGGAAACACAATACTTTCTTTTACCTCAATTTTTAAATAAGTTATTGTTGAAATGTTTTTAAAATTAATATATTTTAAAATTACAATTTGCATACCCTATTATATTAGTTTCAGATATTAGTTGCATATATATATATATATATATATATATATATATATATATATGCAAACTCAAAATGGGTTATAGATTTAAATGTAACACCTGAAACCATAAAACTCTTAGAATAAACATAGGCAATAAACTCTTTGACATTACTCTTAGCAATATTTTTTTGAATAGGACTTCTCAGGCTAGGGCAGTGGTCCACCAACCGCGGCTCGCGAACCACATGCGGCTCTTAGGCCCCTTGAGTGTGGCTCTTCCACAAAATACCACGTGCGGGTGCACACGTACAGTGCGATTGAAACTTCGTGGCCCATGCGCAGAAGTCGGTTTTCGGCCTGGCGAGTCTATTTTGAAGAACTGGCGTTAGAAGAAGTGGGGGGTGTCGGTCGGTCGGGAGACGGGGTGCAGGCAGGCCGCGGGATAGGCAGCGCAGGGCAGGTATATAGTTTTGAGGTTCGTTCGCTGTGGTCGACCCCTTCCAACTCTCCCATCCACACTCGTCTATCTGAAACAAGTATACAAGATGAGTGTGGATGGGAGAGTTGGAAGGGGTCAACCTCAGAGAACGTACCTCAATCAGATTAAGGACATTTTTAGCAAAGGCCAGCTTAGGAGTACCCTAATTAAGTTAATAACAATGTACCTACCTATATAGTTTAAGTTTAAAAAATTTGGCTCTCAAAAGAAATTTCAATCATTGTACTGTTGATATTTGTCTCTGTTGACTAATGAGTTTGCCGACCACTGGGCTAGGGGAATAAAAGAAAAAGTAAACAAATGGAACTATATCAAACTATGGAATTTTTTCACAGCAAAGGAAACCATCAACAAAATAAAAGGGCAACTTCCTGAATAGAAGATAGTCACCAATGATACATCCACTAAGTGGTTAATATTCAAAATATACAGGGAAGTCACAGGTTGACACGCACACACACACAAAATTAAAAATGGACAGAGGACCTGAATAGACATTTCTCCTCTTTGGCCAACATATATACTAAAAGATGCTCAATATGCCTTATTGTCAGAGAAATGCAAATTAAAACCACCGTGAGATATCACCTCACACCTTTCAGAATGGCTATCATCAATGAATCAACAGAGAAGTGTTGGTGAGGATGTGGAGAAAAGGGAACCCTCGTGCACTATTGGTGGGAGTGAAGATTGATTCAGCCACTGTGGGAAACAGAGTGAAGTTTTCTCAAAAAGTTAAAAATGGAACTGCCCTATGACTCAGTGATTCCACTGCTGGGTATTTATCTGAAGAAATACAAAACACTAATTAAAAAAGATATATGCATCCCCACGTTCATTGCAGCACGATTTACAGTAGCCAAGATGTGGGAGCAGCCCAGTGCTCATCAATAGACAATCAGACAGAAGCCATGGTACATATATACAGTGGAATATTAGTCAGCCATAAAAAGAATGACACCATTTGTGACAGCATAGATAGATCCAGTGGTTATTATGGTAAGGGAACACTGATTTAATAGGAGATGTTCCCACTTTTCTGGCAAGATTTGTGAAAGTAATTTCTCACCCATTTTGTGCTAGAAAGTCATTTCTCACTCTGAGGGACTTAAAAATACTTTTATGATTGAACATAAAGTTATATTTTTTCGAATTTTCACAGGCAAACTGAACCTTACAGAATTTGGGTGACTTGGTGCGGATGGGGAATAGGTATCAGAATGTAAGACATTACACTCTAAACACAGTTTTAAAGTAGTAGGGGTTGTATTGAAATCTGCCTATGGAGGTTATTCAGTGTGTTGGAGTAGAAGGCATACCATTAAATGATACAGTAATGATAAAGTGAATGGAATGACTGCATTTGTAGGAACAGGAACTAGGCAGTTGAGGTGAGGCAGGAGAGCAGTTGAGGGGAAAATATAATTTCCACATATCACAGTTATTTTTCTAACCTACTCCCTTGTCCATCTCCTTCATCCTGCAAACATCATGCTCTGCAGGACCAACAGGAAATTCCATAATTCAATATTATGTTATATTAATGATTTTGGGAAAATTAATTTTTCCACATTTTCTTTTTCAATGTATTACTTCTTTACATTGAAAAATTACATGTTCAAGAAGATTTGTTGGTTAAGCATTTATAGTGGCTTTAGCCTTGATATTTGCAATTGTTAAAAAAAATAACTATTATTTCCAAATGATTCTTAACCATCTGATCTCTTTGTATGACTCAAAGACACTTTTTCTATTAGTTTATCAAACTGCAT